GGTCTATCCCTCTTAAAAAGTTGTATCTCTCTTATCCATGGTGGCACTGTATATGGTTTCAACTCCTCAAACTCGCAATCCTTTTGGAATGCCAAGCTCAACCCTGATGTAGCTCCTCTCAACGCATGTGAAACGGTATCTTGAGGTATCATAGTTTCATACTTTGCTTGAATTCTCATTACATCGAGATCACTATCTTTCAGAATGACTACTGTTACCTCAATTGGAATTTTTATCTCGGGGTCCATTGGAGTTGGTTGTGTCTCTTCCTTGGTTGAAAAATTAGAATCCTCTTTGAAGTCTGTATCTTCTTTCTGGTCACCGTTCATCTCTTCAACTGGAAGCTGGTCTGTGATGTTTTTACTCAACTTTTCGATGACGCCCTGGTCGATGAAGTAGATCACTCCTTTGGTTGTGCATACTGCGTCCACATGTCCGAATCCGTGACATTTGTAGCACTTTCTGGTTGTGAATTGCAAATTGATTTTGCTGGATAGTAGCAAGGGGGGTCGCTTGGTGCTGCAGTCTTTTCATTTCAGAAGTTAGCGTCTGCAACTTTTGGCAATAGGGAGTTGATAGGAACTGGCTCTATGCTTCTTGCTTTATCTTCATATCTTCTCGTTCCCTCTTTCAACCTTTCTAATCATGGTAGAGGGCAACCTCCCATTGAATTTTATCCTCAATGTCTGCAAACCTTCGCTGAAGTTGGCGGATCTCTCGCTGTATCTCTTTCTGGGAAGGTTTAGGCATGTATCTCATTAGTGGCATGGCTATGGTGTAGATTTGAGAGGTGCGAGAGAGCTAAAAAATTTAATTTAGAGTTGTTGAGTTTAAAAATCAACAAGAAGAATTTAGGGTTAGGTCAAGGGTTTTGGCTATGGTTGGGAATATGAAAGAACACAATTTTTGTGGGGGTGGTTTTGGTGGTGGCAGATGCTTGGTAACCCTAGGTTGGGACTAAGGTTAGGCTAGCTTTGATACCAAATAATATCGGAGGAGAAAAACCAAACCACAAAAAACTTTTATTAATAGGAAAAGAGGGTCACAACACACATAAATTGGAAATAACACAACCAAAACACAAACGAACACGTCGAGTGTGTATCCCAAGGGCGGTGGAGGTTGGTTGGAAGGTGGTGTAGTAGCTGGGAACAATTGTACAACAGTTGGGACGACTGATCGCTAGGACAAGCGGTGGGGAAAGAGCTGGACAACAAGTTATTGCTACAGAAACGACAGCTCAAGGGGAAGAGGTTGGGGATAGCCGATGACCAAGGAAAGTGGAGGAGATGAAGTTGGGAAGATGAAAGGGGAGATGCAATCACCACCTTAGAGTAGGATATAGCTAGAGCACCACCACCTTCTCGGATACAACCCTAGAACAAGGAAAAGGATTCCACACAGGAAATCTGAAATCAACTCACAACAAAAACTAAATCCTAAATCTAGAAAACACCAATTTAAAATCTTCTCACGACAAACGCCACCCTTCTAGTCGCCTCTTACCCTTCTCTGTTGCCATTGTCTTGTTATTCTCGCCTTCACTACTTTTTGCTACCCTCCCCTTTCTATTTCATGTAGCCATCAATTCTCCCAGCTGATCCCTACCATCTTTTGTCGTTGCCCTCATGCTATCCAGCTGCTCCGTATTTACCGTCGCCCCTGGAATGCAGCCCAAAACCCCTTTGCTTTTATTGTTTCTGCCCACCAACATCCTTACCATTACTCCAACCACTTACCGCCCTTCCAACCCCCATAACCAATCACTATCACCCCTGAATACCCCCCTCTTAGTATGAGTTTGTGTTTTGTGCTGTTGCTATTCATATATTTTTTTGCGTGATAGTAAGTTTTTATTTGAATTCGACAATAATATTTATTTTTTCTATTTTTGTTTGGTTAATTCTGGTATCAGGTAAAACTTCAGAGGAAACACTATGGTATTTTCTTATTTTATTTTTACTTGATGACTTGGTTTTGTATGATTGGAGTGAGATGCGGTGGAGGGATGAGTAAGGGATGGAATTGGGCTGTGGAGCAGGAAAAAAGAATGGGATGTTTGACAGGGAGTAGTGGGTGTTGGGTGGCTCACTATGATTGACGTGTTGAATGATTAAACCTTACTTATGAAGTTGTAAATTGATAATATATGTATATATTTATCACACATGCCATTAATAATTTAATGTATATATTTTTTTTTATTTCTAATCCTATCATTCAAATTATGTCCCTTAATTTTAAAATATTTTAAATTCAAGTGCCTTGGTTTAAGTGTTGATTATTCGTGGATGTATGACACCTAGATAAAATTGGCGTTTCGAATTTGTTCGCACACTTCGTTTTGCGATGAGAGGTTCTTAGGGCAAATTTTGTCATCGGTCGAGTTGCTTTGGCTCCAATTTACGCGACATTGCCTTGGCATTTGTCATTTTTATTATGCTCGAACAAGTTGACTCCAAAATGTCCATTTATAGTTAAATTCAATTGAGAAATGCTCCATCTTACAAATAGGAGGCATTTGAATCCAATTTCAATTGACGTCGTTATATTTTCGAACTGATCTCATTCATTATCATATTTATTTGAGCTTGACGTGGCATCTTATTTTGTTGGATCACGCTAATTATATTGAGGTCAACAATTATTAACCTCCAATCAATTCATTGGCTAGCTCTATGGTGTCTGCCTCTACGTTTGACTGAACGAATGAGAAGAACGAGTGCTGCCTTTCAAAACTATGCAACCATCTCATATAATACTTGCAGCTGATATGTAACAAACTTATAGGTTTTAAATAGATAATATTAGGTGGCAGGTGGCATGCTTATAAAGGTTTGGACTTTGTGATCAAGGTTGATGAGAAAATTATCTCCAAATCATAGCATGTTTCTCATCTTGTCAAATAAAAGTCATCCTAAACTTTTTGTAAAGCAAAACTATTGTCCCCTTGCAAGAAAGACAGGGAAGAGAGGAAGAAAATGAAAAATAATAATGTTGTTTCTATTGTGGAAAAAATTGGTTCAACGATTAATTAAGCAAAATATATTACACTGGATAAAAATAAGGTAAGTATGTCATAAATAATATTAAAATCTGAATATCGTTATGTTTAATTAGTGAATTTTAATATTAGAAAAATAGTATAATTGATAGTCATATTTGTTAATTAGTTTAGTTAATGAAAATAAATGATTCTATATTTAAAATCTTTTTAAAATATAGTAATATTGGATTCCATGATTAAATATGAATGATAGTGGATTTTTTTCCTCAATATTTTTGCTATGGATCTTACCAAACAACATTATAAATTTTCTTACATTCATTTACACAACTTTCTTTTTTATTGCTTTTCATCAGATTCAGGGTTTGTTTAGTATGGTTTTCCACATCATTCATGCCCCAAGCAGAAGCACTCACTGGCAGTTGGCTTCACTTTTTGTGTGTAAAGAATGAAAGCCATGCTCCTCAGCCATGTCTGCCTTGGCATGTCTTGCGAAGCTTTGTGGTATGGTAGAAAGATAGAGCTCTACTGGCATACCGAAAAAAATTCTCAGGCTTTGTTTGGTTAAGCAAAGCTAGGACATGGGCTGGTGGGGAATGGGGGCTGGGGGTTGTGGGGTGGACTGAATCGACTGTATCCAGACACACCCGGTTCAACCAAGAGTTGATCCGGCCTACCCATAGTATGGGGTTAGGGTTGCTGCCCAAAAGGGGGGCTTTCCCCCTTAACTATCTACTACTATATATATTTCATGCTCTCTGTTTAGGGTTTCAGTTTCTTTTGATTTTAGTTTTCTCGCAGTCCGTGTTGCTCCCATACTAGAGCTCTATCCGAGGGCAAGTGGTGCTTCGACTGTATCTTACTCCGAGGTGGTGACTACCTCCATATATTCCTGCACTTACCCTGTCTTCCTGCTCTCTGCCCTTCCACTGATCTACCCAAACTGCCAGTCCCTATCCCGCTCGCTTACTGCTGCTGCAGATCTCATCAACACCTCCTGCTGTTGCTGTCGATCCCATCAGCGCCCCCTGCTATTGCTGTCGATCCCGTCAGCGCCCCCGGCTGTTCCTACATCTTTCCTGTATTGCTACGGCCATCTCCTCCATCACCTTCTGTTTTTGCCACCAACCCTACAACCTACTCTGCTGCTGCTACAACCCCCTCCAGGACTCTGTGTTGCTACGGCAAGCCCTCCAACATTCCCTGCTGCTACTGCACCCCCCAACTAACCATCTCATCTTACGGACAGCCGGCGTTCACCACTCTAGCCCTCCCCCTAGGGGTTCGGTTGTGCTTTGTGCTATTTTATCCTTGTTTTAAGAATCTTTGTTGCAATTCCTTTAAATTTTCAACAATAATATTCGTGTTTTGTTATTTTTCTGGTTAACTCCGGTATCAAGCTATTTTAGAAAAAGTAGCTTTTTGAAGTTAAATAAGAATAATGTCCCAAAATAATATGAAAATGACATTTTTTTTAAAGTAATTTGAAAGAAACATAATAATCAAACATGTTACTAAATAAATAAAGGACTTTTATGAAACGTAAACAGTTTGGAAGCTTCTTCAAACAAGGCTTCATACTAACATCCATACCAATTACAAATGAGCTTTACTGAATGCAAACAAGTACTCTAAAAATACAATTCTGAAATAAACTAATAGTTTATATATGTTCATCCACTTTTAGATATACTCCAAATTTCTTTTGGGGGATTGTAGATAAATATCATTTTTTTGATTAAATTTTTTAAGTTGAGAAAATTTAGTACCCATAACTATTGACATTCATGATCAACCATATTTTTGTGCTGAATGATCTGAAGTTACTTCTATAAAAGGAATGCTTTTCAAATATTATTTGGCTTTATGAAAGTAGTTTTTAGGATATTTTGATTTGGCCAATTTTATCCTATTATATGCTCGTTCTTATTTTGAGAACCTTTTTAGCCAAAACAGGTTGTCTGAGATTATTTGGTTTTATGCTGATTTGCAGAGGGTGATACTATCATTCCTGTTTACGATAAGGTGCAAATGTTGATGGGATTTCACGAGCATATAAATGACCCTAAATGGCATTTTTCATGTAAGTTCCTCTAGATTTCTATCAATTAAATGTCTCTTACATTTTGCTGTTAATCTTTTACAGACATCTGTTATATTTCACAAGCTCCTCACCTATTTTTTCTTTACCTAAATATTGGAAGTGTGTTTTCTTTTTCCATATTTGCGTTCATTCTTAATAATAAATATATATGCAGACAAACATCTTTTTCCAGATTTGTTGCTCGGGAATAATATGTGGCTTGAATCTATTTTCCCATACAAACATCTTTGATCAAAGGAGTAGTTTTTTCCACTCTTCTTTGATGTGTGTTCGCATGAGCACATTTAATTGACGGAATGCTAACCTGTCATTAATATATCAATTCTGTAACGTGCAAGAAGTTTATCAGATGTGGTTAAAAATAAGGATGTTTAAAGTCTTTTTGGCTCCCGGGAATTTGCATGTTCTATTGTTAGAGTTTCATGGTGCAACTGTTAACTTCGTTTGACTTCCTCGGGACTGCATCTTCAATATTTTCTGTGGACTTCACAAACTAAATCATAACTGTTTCATGGTTTTCAAGTTTGGTTGTTAATAAAAGCGTATATTTATGAAAATCTGAATGTATGCTTCCATGAAAAGTTTACAATGTTATGGCTTATATTAGTAGTATATAATATTTAATTTTGTTTTAATTTACTGTGTGTGGTAAAGTTTGTCTATAATGTCGGCTTGTATGCTTAACGAAATGTATTCTTCAGAATTTTGAATAGCATGGCTCAATTCAACTAATGGAGTTCTAATTAGCACATATGGAGTTCAAAATTCCTTCCAGTCATGCACGTGTGTTTCCCGCTGCTTTCAGGGTTGCGGCTGTTTTCTCTGTGTTCTAGTTAGTTGCACATTTGTTCCCAGCTACCGTCTAGATTTAGTGGTTGTTGTACGGGGTTGCCCCTATTGTCTTTGGGTTTTTGCTGGCTGCTGTTCATGTTAGTTTTGATGTTCCAGTGTTTTGTCTCCTGTGGTATTACCACCTAAACCTTTCTCATTTAGTTAATTTAATCACATTATCTCTCCTATTGTATGATACAATCCCACAAAGCCCAATTTGATAAACATTGGAAACTTGCTTTCCTGGGTAAGTGAGTGAAAGAAATGTGTTTAGGAGTTCATAAAAGTGAACAAGAGACTAAAGAAGGAGATAGATTTAAGTTGACAAAATGGATGGCCACCTCAATCGCTATCCTGTAAAAGCATTTGCCGGCTACCACTTTCCACACATGGAACAACATCCTCCTATAAATATAGGAAACAACCCAAAGTTTTAGGAATTTTGATTTTTTTTATTCAGTTTGGACATTTAAAATAGGCGGTTTAAATTATTTAATTTTTGTAATGGACGAATTATTGAATATTAAATTGATATTTGCAAGTGTTTTTAACGCTTATTCTTGTACTCCTTGGCTTGGTGGCCAAGAGGTATTCCTTTTGGTGGGTATTCAATTTCTTGTGTATTTTTCTTTTGAAGTACCTAATTAAACGCTTGTTTCTGATTCACTCACATTCTCTTTCATCCTCAATAAAAAAAATCCAGTTGTTTTTTGGATATATTTTTTTTTAAAAAAGGCTCTCTCCCAAGTTAGCTAAATTAGGTTCTCTATGATCTAGTCAAATTTTTTCTTCAAGCTCACTAACTTGATTTCCTAGGAATAATCTCATAAAATCCTAATCACATCTGTAAATTTTTTCAAATATTTTTCAAGTGTTTTCAGAACCAAAAATTTTGCCACATTAATAATCCCTAAATTCTTGAACTTGCCCTATGTTATCTTAGATTCAAGGAGTATTATATTATTGAACAACTTTAATCTCTTCACCACCACTTCTAAATCTTACCAATTTCACTCCTAAGGTGTCTGACGCGGATGCCGACTCATTTGGATGCATTAAATCAAATATGAGGAGTATAGAAGCATATTACATACTTAATAACTAGAAGCTTAATTCATAAGAGGGATGGTCTATGTTTAGTTCCAACTCTCCTTTTATTAAAGAAGGATTGTTCTTAACATATATGCATGAATAGTTGGGCTGTGAATAATCTCACTATTAAGTATTGGTTTCCCATTCCATGGGTAAAGATTTGTTGGATCAGTTGCATGGAGGCAACATTTTCTCCAAGATCGATTTATGCAGTGGTTATCACAAATAGATCAAGATGAGACCATAAAAAGGTGGAAGATAATCTTCAAAACTTCAGACATATCGTACGAAGGAACATACTATTTGGGTTGTCCAAAACTTTAGACACCGTTATGCAGTTGATGAACAATATATTTTAAGCACTCATCAGAATATCATTTTGTATATTTTGATGACATCTTGGTGTACAAGCGCAGGATCACTCACAACATATACAAGAGGTTTTTGAGGTATTTCAAATAACCCGGTTATATTGTCACTCAAACAAATGCCAATTCTTGACTACACAAATTTGCTTTTTTGGATATTTTGTATTAGCAACGGGCATTGATATGTATCCAATCAAGATTGAGGTCATAGTTAATTGTCCTAGTTCTTAGTCATTCTCTCATGTATGCCAATTCTATGGATTCACTTATTTTAATTGAAGGTTTGTAGAAATTTGAGCTCGATAACGTAGCCCTTGACAAAGCTCCTTAAAACCAAACGATTCACTATGTCAGATTAAAAGCTTTGAAGAAAGAATTTACTTGGGTCCCTATCCTAGCTCTTTTGGATTTTAATAAGGTGTTTGAGGTGGAGTGTGATGCCTCAAATGGGAGACTTAGAGCTGTGTTGAGTCAATATAAGCACTCTATTGCCCGCTTCAGTGAGAAGTTGAATGAGTATAGAAAAATGCATTTTATCTACTATAAGGTGTTCCTTTTAACATTGATCGTGAAGTCTTGACGCTACTAAATAGTCAAAATCTTCCTTGGTGGAGCTTGTTGCTTCCTACTATTTTGTAATCAAACACAAAGTCGGGAGTTAGAATAAGGTAGTTGATGTAATAAGTAGCCGACAACTATTAATTATTACTATGAGTCAACAGTAGCGGGGATTGAAATATTAAATGAAGCTTATGCCAATGAAAATGAATTTTAGGAGATTTGAATTCACTATCAGGACAAGTCATTTAAGCAGTTCCACCTAGGAGATTACTTATTTTTCAGAGCAGAATGTATTACTAAAGCTCACTCTAATGGAGTAGTAGTAGAACATTTTGACACGGACTATATTTTTTTTCCTCAGTAAAAGTGAGTTTTTATTGGCTCTGACTAGTACGAGAGAAATGTCAGACAATGTAAAATATCATTTAGACAAGACTTAATGTAGAATACAGGTCTTTATACTCCACTACCTGCTCTAGAGCTACCTTGGGTGGACATAAGCATGAAATTTGTAATGGGTTTGCCATGGACACAGAGAAATAAGAACTCTGCTATGATAGGGGTAAACTATTTCTTGAAAATAGCTCACTTTGTACCTTTCCACAAGACGATGGATGCTTCACATAATGTAGACTTGTACCTTAGAGAGAGAGAGTTCACCTACATGTTGTGCCCAAAATCATCACTTTAATTAGGGATGTGAAGTTTCTAAGTCATTTCCATAGGACTCCATGGAGTAAGCTTGGCATACAAATTTAGTTCAGTTCAACAGCTCACCCTCAAACAAATATATATGCAGAGATTTAGCTAACCTATTCACTTGCTTGTGGGAAAGAATATTACACAATGATGCCTGATCCTTCTCTACGTTAAGTTTGCTTGTAATTGTTCCACCAATCAGTTAGCCCTTTTGAGATAGTTTATGGGAGAAATCCATTCATTTTGTTTGATTTGTCTCCTATACTCTCAGTCATTGAGTGTAGTGTTTACGCAGTTGTTAGAGTAAAGGAGATTTAGGCTTTACATGAACATGTAAAAGGGGAGATTGCTAGCAAAATGTTAGGTATTAGAAGTAGGCCAACAAGTCCAGAAAACCAAGTTTTTTAAGAAATGTGCTTGGTATTGATTAGATTGAAGAATGAGAGGTTTATTGCATGTTCTTTTGGAAAAGTCAAGCCCAAAATTGACGGTCCATACATGATTGTAGAGAAAATCAATGTCAATGCATACATAATAAATTGTCGAGGGATTAACACATGTTTGCCACCTTCAACATCTGTCGCCATAATTTAAGGACCCAACTGCTTCTGTTAACTTTTGCAAAGCCCTTCCTATCTCGGGAGAATGAAGAAGACATTTCCCCCTCCCCTACCTTGCGTCAAATCTTGGTGGTCACTTAAACACCCAAACCGACCAATTGGTTTGAGTTTTGTTGGCCGGTTCAAGTTTTTCAGTTGCCTGGGGCTAGGGCCGGTTCATATAAGCCTCCCTTTTCTTAATCATCACCTGTATTAGGTTATTTTATCTGAGAACTATATATATGTTTGTTATTGACGGATTTGAGAAACATATGGTTTTGGTTTATGCATTAGAATTTGTTGTTCTCTAGTTTTTCCTTGCTGGAATATTGTATTCTTTATCGCTTTCAAGCGGTGTGCCTGTAACCTGATTGGATCTTGGTGTTAAACTCTCTCGGACATTCGAAGGACTCCTACACTGTCAACCCTTGCTGTCAATCTACTGTTTCTGCTTCAGACTTGATTGTGCCAAATTCTTACCTTCATCTCTTGTCCTAAAACTATCCTAGCTCTTTCCTTGATTTTCCCACACTGCCTATAAATCGTAGATCTATGTCAGTTCTTAAGACATAAAGCCCACTTTCTAAACCAAATTTAGCCTTTATAAAAGTATGGTATAGCTAATATGGGAAGAGAGGAAGACTGAGTGGGGATTGTGGGAAGGTAGGACCTACATGTGGTACTTGAGGAGGACAAGGACATAAGTGGCAGGTAGAGCTTAAGGTTTCAAATGAATCATCTATCCACTAAAGCTAGGGATTCACGTTCTCAAGTTGCTACAATATAATTAATAGGCGCTAATAACATGAATAAGGTTAACTTGCATACT